AACATTAATTCATTCCCTGTTTGCATGCAAAGACAAATGGTCGAACGGATTCGTCCAAATAACTGAATAAACCTCAATAAATACTCCTCAATGTCGCTTTAACAATTCGAGGACAGTTTTTTTGCAGTGATTATAAGGCTCTTTGGCTTATTTGCTTTTCGCTGAACGAAATCCCATCGTCAGGCTGCAATAGCTCTTTCTCGATCTTTCACACTCCTGTTGATCGCATCTTCTCCATATCAAGTACAATATCGGGAACAAATGTGCACAATTCGTCCAAATATACAACAATGATCCACGCTCAATCATTTCAATGTCCTTTTAACAATTCTAAGTCCATTCCTTGCGGATGATATTATCAGTGTTCTTTAAAATATTGTTATTTATTTATTCGCCTTACTAGTACCCTCTAGAATATTCCAAACATATAGGTAAAAAGGCACTTGGAAAAAAAGTAATACTAAGTAAGGGAGGTAGGAGTAACGTGTTTAATCTGACTTTAATGCATAAATTAATGAGAATCGAGTGAGTGAGTGAGTGAGTGAGTGAGTGAGTGAGTGATCGAGTGAGTGAGTGAGTGAGTGAATGAGTGAGTGAGTGAGTGAGTGAGTGAGTGAGTGAGTGAGTGAGTGAGTGAGTGATCGAGTGCCATTCGAGTGCCTCCAAAAGCCCATGGCATGACTACGTCATCCATGAGCTAAAAAAACGAATACCGCGACGTCATTGACTAGTCAGGTCATGCAGTCATTCATTGGTTAAACCTTTTACATGATTACAATATGAAATGAGAAATGCCAAAGTTACTGTATGAAGCAAGGGAAGTGCAGAACAATGTTACTTTAATCATTCTGATAGCGTTACAGGTATTTCATTCTATGTATTTCATATTGGCAGAGACATTATCATAAGGCTTTTGCAAAGCATTAAAATAACAGTTGAATATGTAGTCTGTTGATTCTTATTTAAACCCCCCGTTTAATTAATTTACACTACTGTACTGACAGTAATAAATACAGGGTAAGTTGTAGTCAGAAATCTTTTAACTTCTAACGGAGCATGGGAGTGCGGAGTCCATAGAGGAATGTCAGTGAATCTACAAGACAGGTAATTCTTCATTCCAACCATTGCAAGTTTTTTTTTTTTTTTATGTATTTACTGACTTTAAGTCACCCCATACTCTATTGATAGTTTAAAGCCACAGGTGGCCCACTTAAGAAAAACTTTTTCCCATCTTGCCCTGAAACCCGAGGGTTTCTAGGCGGAATTTCACCGTACAAATGCTAGCGCTATGATCAGAGCTTTTTCTTAATTGTATCCTAAATTACCAACTCGAGGTTTTAAGGCTCTTTCTTTCAAACCCGCGCTAGCTCTAGCCTCTGGAAACGATAGTTCCAAGAAAAACCTTAAAAAAGAATAAATATAAACAAAGAGCTTTAAAAGAGAGTAAGAGCTTTAAAGAAAGAGCCTTTAAACCTCGAGCTTGGTAATTTAGGATACAATTAAGAAAAAAAATACAAGTTGTATTTTAAGAAAGATACTTAACCCGATAACTGTCTTTTAAAAAAAAACATTAAGTTCGTATTAATTTCAAATCTTGAGCCCGCGTAGAGAAACTAACTGGTTTTAAAATGATAAATCTGCGGGGTGACAACGTTCATTTCAGCCCAAAAGTTTTCAACGTTCTGAATGACGAACATTTCAGCAACCAGATATCAAACTATTGCATTGCATGAACAACCATTAGCGTCGGTGAAAGACCTCGGTAAGACATTACGTCAATCTTTTACGAAAAATTCGCTGTCCTCTAAAATAAACTTCGGTGCAATCCAACATGGCGGTTGATCTTCTCATATAGTGACTGACTTTTAAGGCTCGTTATTCAGTTAAAACCTCAATCGCTTTATATTTCTTTGATCTCATCCGCTGATTGCTGGAAATCCTACTCAGTCCCGCTTTTATTTTCGTCAAAGATTAATCTATAAATCGCCTAGTGAAAATCTAAACACACTATAAGAGAGGTTTACATTCCTGGATGATGGGCTCCTGATTAGGTCTGGATGGCCTTACTGTTACACATTTTTTGTCATGATTAAAGCTCCTTTTTTGTTAGTTTTAATTCTTTCAGTATTTTCTTGTTTTAGTTTCTAAGTCCATTACATGCATTTAGCTGTTTATACTTGTTCCGTCTTAAACTGTCCGATTATTGGGGATGCTCCTTCTTCTCCATATCAAGCACTAGCTTCAGGTGGCACGTTGTAATACGGACGAGCTTCATTGTGTTTGTTTACATCCAAGTATGGTACATCCCTTTCCATTATCGCCTCCATTTTTTCGATCAAACGATAGAAACTGGGACGAATGTAAGGGTCTTCGTTCCAACAGTCAGTAATCAGCTCATATCTGTTATGAATGGCGAAAAAAAAAACCATTCAATGCTTAGTAGAGCTCCAGTGAATTATTAGAGAGTGTCAATAGACCTCTTTATAGCTTGTATGTTTTGGTTTCCCAAAAGAGGTCCCAGGAGAATTTGACCGTTAGACATGACCTAAGCGAAAAAGGTCTATTGGCATAAAAGTAAAATTTTTGGTGGAAGAGGCTTCTTAGCTTCATGAGTTTACAGGGAGGCTCCACCCTGAAGTCCAACCCTTTTTATACATCTGTTTTGACAGAAAAGGTACCCCTCTCGTACACATTCCTTTCCTGCCTACCCTAAAAAATGGTACGACTACCTCACTTTTTAAGCCATTAAGCCCTTTTAAGGATACAATAAAGACACATCTGTTTAAAATATCTTTTAATGTAAATTACCGAAATTACAAAATTTTCTACCATTTCAAACAGTTTAGCTCGTGAAATTCCTACCTTTCCATATACATGTGGCTTAAGGTATTCCTTTTGGGTGGTTTATCACGTGACTTCCCATTCCTTCATCCAGCCATTATTATGTAAAGCTCTGCCCCGAGGTCCAACCCCTATCCTTTAGAGTATCATTTTTGACAGAAAAGAACTTAAGAATTTGTTCATGCTTAGCGTGCGTATATCGAGTTATGGATGCACGCGGGAAGTTTGGAGAGCACGAAAGATGCGTAAGAGTTGCACGAGGAGATAGCCGGGTGCAACCCTAACTTGTTGAGTGCTCTCCAAACTTCCCGATATACGCACAGCTAAAAGCATGAGCAAATTCTTTAATAACATAGCTGACAAAAATGCTTGCTTTTTGATTAACTGCAAAATTCTCGTAACGCGCTACACAATAACAAACACGCCACAATCGTCAAGTTTGAATGAAAATATTCTTTCTGTAAAACTGAGAAAGAAAGTTTGCTTCTTTATTCGTTAACGATCAATGGAAACCAAACAGCAACAATGGTAAAAGAGTCGTAAAGTTCACCTAAAGTTAAAATACTAACATGTTCGTAAAGAAGTCGTGGAGTATGGTTTGGATTTGCTGAAAAGATGTTTACGTTTTGCTCGGCGAAATCCAGAAAACATGTTCTTAGCGAAGACGACTGTCATCCTTCTTTAATATTCATTTACGAACATTGGCTGATCATTACGGCCTCTTGAGAAGACCTGGCAGCAGTTGTTTTTGTGAGAAATAAATTTATGTCTTCGTTCTTGTGTAATTTGTGCTGTTACTGCGAGAGAAATTTTCCTGCTTCAGTCGGATTGTCCGGAGATAACAAAAGTGTATAACAAATTTGAAAACAACAATAAAAACGGAAATTTTACCTTTAAATGTTGTTGATGACCAGTTGGTGTCTGTTCTGTTCCCAGTGAATGTCTTTCGGCCAAAATTTGCTGCAGCTGGTCTTCCGACAAATTTGCGAAACGCGCAACTTGCGAGTTTTTTTAATTCGGATTTATTTTTGCTGCTTGTTGGATCAGGACCTAAAAGGTCAATGCCGATAGAAAAACTGGGCAGTTCTTCACTGGTTTCTTCCATATTTTAAAGAAAAGGAAAACTGCACTGCAGCTTAAAAGACGACAACTTTGCAGCCAGGTAAAAAAAAAATGCTCACGTCATCTTATTTACGCACGGGCGTGCGTAAATAAAGATTTTGTTCCTAGCGGCTCAATAGCACTTCTATAGGGCAAGCACGCGCGCTATGTTATAATTTAACTTTATCCCTTTTAATTGCTGAAAAATGCACTTCCTTTTAAAAAAGGAATAAATAACAAACTAGAAAATTTTCTCGACTTTTTCTCAGCCAAGAAATCTTATCTGGTCCTCTTAAGTCATTTTACAGACCGAAATGACAGATTTCCCTACCCTTTCATATACTTCGACTAGAAAAATTCCTATACCAGAAGACTGAGAGAGGTACCCCTTTTGGGGGGTGCCTCGCCAGTACAGGGAGTACTCGCTCCGGCCCCAGGAAAAGGATTAACCTTATCACTGCTAATGATGCCTTTATTGACCATAAAGCTAATGGGGGGTTTCCTTGTTCAAAGAGTGAGGATCCCAGGCCAACAAACGCTTTCCCTTGCCGTCCGTCTGGTCAGTATTTAATATGATCATAGAAAGCGTTAAAATATTTGACGAATCCGTGTGCTGCACCGTTCGGTGTGAAATGTAACTGAGCAGACGCACAGAAAAATGGAATCTGTTTGTTACTAATGGTAACAGGACTGAGTGGAATCGAATTCGGTCTGTAATCATAGCGGGAGTCCGATTTGTTTAATCACGAGTATGATTATAGATCGAATTGGACGACACGAAGTTCTGTTACCAATTAACCATAACTTTAACAAAATTTTGCGATATAATAGGCTATTTTTTAAATCAAAACACAGGAAATTCGAAATTTTGTTTTGCTAGCAGTGAAAAAAGAAATGCCATTTAAGCGCGCGCTTGATGGCGCGTACTGTCCAATTACTTAGGCATGACGCGTACTATCCTATTAAACTGTCCAATTAAGGCTGAAATCAGGGCAGTTGATAGCCAATCAGATTTGACAATTTTGTTATCGTTATGATTAAATCTAAAACCGCCCTAATCAAGAAACGTACACGTCATCGGAGCACATGTCAGGCCTTTCCATGCGATAACCAGTACCGAGCAGTCGATACAACTCTGAGTTGGTCAGCGTGGGGTATGGTACGCCTCCTGACGATTGAGAGAAAGAAAACAAATGATTACATATCGGGAACTGAATACACGCAATTTTCCATTGGATAGATTTCTATTAAAGATGCCTTAGTCGATTGTCACTTCTCCTCATATAAACTCAATAAGGCTACTTTGCAAGAATTGTTGATTGAATGGAGGTCCGAATATAGAGCCAATGCAGTTAACTGTGTAAGGAAAGAAGGAAGTCTTCTCTTTTCCAGTCATCAAATGCTCGCAAATTAAATATGTATTGTCACATACGGTTATCATCATTAAAACAAAAGCCCAGATCAAACAAGAAAATTCAAACTTGCCGCAAACGAAACATTATGAAACATTGTTTTCGCCCTTCCTGGTAGCAGTAACCTCGATAACAATCGTAACAGTTAAGCCACATCCCACCATGGCAAAAGGAGAAGGTGGGTTAAGGCACGGTCCCCTTAGTTCCCTTGGAAAGCTCAAAACTTTGCAGTGTAAAACCATTATCCTGAGGGTCGTGCATGAGTTTTCAACATTTTGACATCATTTCTACGGTTGATAAGAGTCATAGACCATGAAAAATGTTTTTTTTGATTTGTCACTTAACCTGAAATTTAATATGACACCAAAAAACTGTAAAATTACCGTCCACTCACCCAAAGTAGCCATTTCCCAAAGAACAACACCAAAAGACCAACTATGAAAAAAAAAACCAAAGAGGTTATAAATATGTACAGATTCACGGCATTTAGATTGTTTATTTCCCGGTTTATTTCTTAACTCCTTTTATTTGTGGTGGACGAGCCCACAAATGCGTGTACTTTTGAGGTTTGGATGTAATTGAAAAACTAAATTGAAAACTGTCTCAACCAGAGGAAACTGTTCACTGCATGTAAATCACTGCTTAACCTGTCGAAGTGTGCCAGTCTCCCTCTACATTCCGATCTTAATCAATCAATGACTAACGATTTTGGCAAGTTCTTCGGTGACAAAATTAACTCCATTCGGCTTGAGATTGCACGCCAAGGTAGCACTTCTGATGTTAGCGAATCCCACTTTGCACTTGATGGCCCCTGTTCTTCTGAATTTCGTCTTCTTTCTGAAACCGAGGTTCATGAACTAATCAAATCATCTACAAAGACGACTTGTTCTCTTGACCCCATTCCTACTCAGCTTTTTACTGAGTGTCTTAATGTATTACCTCCTCCAATTACGAAATTAATTAACCTTTCGCTGGAATCAGGCTATTTTTCTCTCATCTGAAAGCGCGCTTTGTTAAACCACTGCTACAGAAGGAGGGTGTCGACCTCATCTTTAAGAACTATAGACCTGTGAGTAACCTCGCATATGTCTCAAAACTTTGTGGAGACTGCGGTCGCCAAGCAACTTCAACATTATTTATTCAGCAATGATCTCTTCCCTATTCTGCAATCAGCTTATCGTCCCAAACACAGCATAGAAACAGCACTTCTCGAATTAAAGTCACTAACGACATCCTCCTTAACATAAACGATCAACTTGTCACTCTGCTTCTTCTCCTCGACTTAAGTGCGGCTTTTGACACTGTCGATCACGACACTTCACTGCATCGACTTCAGTTCACATTTGGTATACATGGAAAAGTCCTCTCCTGGTTTTCGTCTTACCTGTCCGGAAGGTCTCAGCAAATAGCCATCAATGAGACACTCTCTGCGGAATTCGAGTTGCAATGTTGTGTCCCTCAAGGTTCCTGTTTGGGTCCCTTATTATTTACTCTGTATTTGAGCAATCTCTTCGAGATCATCAAACATCATTTTCCTACGGGTTATTGTTACGCTGACGACACGCAGGTATACATCTCATTCTGCCCAAACGACAGGCTCCATCAACTTAATGCTGGAGAGTTACTGGAAAGTTGCATTACTGATATTCGTTCTTGGATGTCGAATGACAATCTTAAATTAAATGACGAAAAAACTTGACGTCTTATAATAGGTACACCGCAACAGCTTGAGAAGGTAGTTATCACTCATATTCGCGAGGGTAACACCAACATTCTCCCTGTACCTTGACTCGTGGTTAGATGCCAGTCTCTCTATGACGGAACATATTTCGAACATTTGCAGCTCATCATTATACTATTTGAATAACATACGTCGGATCCAGACGTATCTCTCCAATAAGTCTGCAGAGTCACTTATTCATGCTTTCACATCAATTCGTCCTGACTAAAGTAACAGTTTATTGTATGGTCTGCCAAACTGCTCATTGATCAAATTACAGCGTGTGCAGAATGCCTGTGCTGGACTGATATTTACTGAGGGTAGATTGTCACATAACACCGCTCCTTATTAAGTTGCATTGGTTAACGATTCACTCTAGAATTGTATTCAAGATTCTTTTGTTAAATTTCAAGATCTTGCATGGCGCAGCTCTCACTTACTTGGTGTCACTGATATCTCTGAAGGCTCAGTCATGCTATAACCTGAGACGTTCTAGTGACACCCTCTTACTTAAGCAACCCTTATTTATATCGAAAGCGACTCTTGGTGACAGGTCGTTTACTTGAGTAGCATCAAAACTCTGGAATGCATTGCCAATTGAAGTCAGAGACTCCAAGACGTTGGACATTTTTAGATCAAAGCTAAAGACGCACCTTTTTCGTTTAGCATTTTTATCATAACCTGCAGCACAATATCATAGCAGCATTAGTATTATTAGGCAGTATTAGTATTAGTAGTAGCATTAGTTTATTATTATTGTTATTGTTATTATTATTATTATTCTAGTAGTATTAGTTATTGTATCCAGTTTCCCACTGTGTGGTTTTATTGTGAAGCGCATTTGAGCATTGAATGGAATTTGCGCTATACAAATTCATTCTTCTTCTTATTATTATTATTAATTGGAGAATTGTTAAGGACAGGAAGAATCCGTTTTTAGCTATATTTAGACAGGGATGCCTTCAATTTTATGATTCCATATTTGGGCAAACAATTTTCCGTTCTTCTGATTGGACGGCTAAAAACCAACCCTAGCATGGTCATAAACAAATAAGGAAAATTTCTGTAATTTTACGGCAAATACAACTTTGAGAAGTGATTCAGTAGAAACGTTTCAATAGTTCCCTTGTCAAGGGAGATGGAAAACTCATCACTCACACATCACTTTTGGTCGTGTAAACGCCTTGATACAGTGCTTCTGGGGCCATCCACTTTACAGGTAGTTTTTTGGACTTCGTTGAGCTGCTCACATCTTCATAGATTTGTCTCATCAACCCAAAGTCTGACACTTTGATCTGGTTGTCATAGCCAACAAGAACATTGCGGGCAGCAAGGTCTCTGTGAACAAGGTTGTTTTCTGCGAGATGATTCTAATAACAAATAAGCAAAGAAACCACGATTAAAATTATCTCAAAACGTAATAACGGGGGTACGCCGAACACTAAGTAGTTAGGTATGGCTGAACAATCCAAATGGAAAGTGAATATCGGGACTGATCTGATCCAGATATTTACGTTCAGACACATAACGAAACGAATTCAGCCAAAACTTAGTCGACCGAAAAGAAATTTTTTTCCATATAAGCAATTTTAATGTACTCATATCTAGAAAAACAGCCAATGAATATATTTATCCCGTCTATTTCATGTTTATAAAATATTGACTTTTGAATTCTTCTTTCCAAGTTATACTCTTAACCAGAATCCCAGCAACATTCGATCCAGAAAACAAAGATAATTACCATTCCTTTAGCTATTTGCCAGGCAAGTGAAAACAGTTGTTTGGTAGAAAAGTTCTCCTCTACGTCACAAGGATCCTCGCCTGACTCCTCTAGGTTTTCAATTGAAAGTGGCCTTGCAGAAGCTTGATTTTTTGCTAGTGATGCCGATGGCCTGGTTAGAATTTCTTTGTCAGTTACTTTGAATTCCTCATCCTAATTAAATTGATAAAAAAAAAACTATCAAATTTTTGGTTTAGCTTGAAACAGCACAGCTTTCAAGTAATTATTTTCCTTGTTAGTAAATAAGTAACTACCGGATAAAAACATAAAATAACATAATTTGCTTAAGCCAGACAAGAGCCAATATACAAGTATTATCTATTGAAAGTAACTTCAAATTGACCAGTTTAGAGCTAGAGAAAATTTACTTTGGGTCCAGGGTACTGTTTTCAAGTCTAGGATGAAAATCAACGCCCACAATTTGATGTTCACCCAGAAAGCCTCGGCCACCTGCTGATACACGTGGTACTGATTAAAAATAACAAACACACCATTTTACTAGACGATTCCTTGTATCAGCCATCGTTCTGGAAGTCACAAGCCCGCAACTGAAAATAGCTCAAGAGCCTGAAAACAAGACGCTAAAACGTAAATCCAAGACAGCACAGAAAAGCTACACCATCAACGAAACACATTAGTGGCACAAGAAAACCAAGATCACAAAGGCGTTGTTTCCTTCTAACGTGAAACGTAAGCAAAATAAGCGCCCTAGAGGCAAATTCTTCTTCATTAGTTAATAATTAATTATTATGGTGTTTTTGTTTTCGTCTTACATCTACTTCGGTGGAAGTCGATGGAATCACTTCAAGAACGGCATCTTTGTTGCTTTGTTGCGGAGACACTGCACTGTCTTCTTGGTCTTGGTGTATAGAATGTTGATCCTCCTTAATAACTTCATCAGGCTCATCAGCCAAACTTTGCTAAATGATTAAAGAAAATGGCCATGACATTTACATGTACAAAAAATATAACGCTATTGCTGGTTTTCACAGTCACGCTATTAAAAATCAAAATCAAAATCGTTTGATAGATAAAGTCTAGAATCTGGGAAATGAAAGAAGGTAAATATACAAAGGCCCTCGCCAAGATTCAGGTCTGTGCAATTTTTCATGCGCGAGAAGTTTTCGAGAATTTTTTTACCTACATTTATAGAGCTTTATATGGAGACGCAATGTTGGTGCCCATCCGGATGGTCACTAACATTGCGGCCGGAAAACATGTGTCACGGAGTTGGGCTACTTAAGGGTGAATTCATCTCTTGAGGAACTCATTAACATTGACATTAATACAATGACCATTCAGATAGCAAAATCCCCCCAACAGAGTCACTTTTTCAGCCTTCATGGCAGCACTCTCGTCGGCTCATTGTCTGCATGCCGTATCCACGTTCAATATAATTAAATTTAAGAAAAAAAAAAGACCTTAAGTATTTCTTTTCTACAAGATGGCCTTGAAAAGTCGACGCCAGATCCTGTCGCACATCATCATTGCTTTCTTTAGATAACGATATATAAATTTAAGAAAAATAAATTCAATGAAATATTTAAGTATTTCCTTCATACAAGATAGCCTTGAAGAGTCGACGCCAGGTCCTGTCGGACTTCATCATTAATGCTTTTTTCTGATAACGAAATCATTTCCATGTTTTCGTTCGTCTGCTGCTCCCGTTTAGTCCGATCTTTAGCAGGTTTACTTTCCTTTGTAAAAAAAAAAAAACCAAAACAAAAACAAAAACAAAAACCTTATTAAATTATTGGTCCAGTACTGGCCATTTTGTTCGTTTAACCATTATCATTCTTTAATATAATACATCGTGGAATCTTGTATTCTATCCTTTCAAGTATACATCAAATTTCCACTCTGTTGTTATTCTATGCAATCAATTTCGGTGAATTAAAGACTAAAGTTCAACAACAACCAGATGACCTACAGATGACAAAAATCTAGGTAAAACGTACTTAGTCTAAATAAATAAATTTGAAAATTAACTCATGATTACGTTTTGTGGTATAAGAAACACTTGTGAAGGCACAACCACAACGACAAACCAGTGAGGATCAGCCGGATCTTTACTAGGCCTGATCAATACCAAATTTAGTTTTGTGTAAAGCGTACTTGATTCCCAAACCTCTCTCTGATTTTTCTGAACGCCTTTATATTTAACTAATTCTTTCATAAAGAGGCGCTTCCCGCTTTCCGGATCATTAAATAAAGAGACAACTTTTGCATATTACACTTGACTAGCGCAATCGATAAAAATCGATATCAGAAAATCAATTGTCAGCGCTATTAACGATATTATAGATTGCCTCCCAGGTTCAAAACCCAATAATGCATTATTTCACAGCAAGTTATATTAGCAACATGCAGATATTTTCTGTTTTAAATGATGATTTTATCTCACATTTGTATCATGTTTTATGGTCATGCTACTTGTCTTTCCATTTGGTTGCGGAGTTAATCATCTTCTTTGTTTTGCATATTTACAGAATGATTTAAATGATCCTTTCCAATATGCTTTTTGAAGAAGCAATTTAAGGGTCTTGCTGAAAAACTGTACACTGGACAGTACTTGAACCAGGCCCGTAGGAACGAAGCTAAAAGTGACAGGGCACGACTGTTGTGGGACGAGACCCCTTCCTGCCCCCCCCCCCCCCCGCCCCCGACAAATCTTGACAGTCTAAATGACAGTCTAAACAGCCAACCCCCGTTGATACGGATACTGAGGGGGACATAGAAAGTGTCCGTATTAAACGGATGTCGGGAATCGCTCTTTATCAAGAGTTATCCATCATTATCGATTATCGACTCTATCGATTGCACTAGTCAGGATTACAACGATTACACGAGAATTCCTTTCATGAGCTACAAGCCTTAACCACGTTTAAGTTGAGTTAAGCAGTTTTTCCATATATAGTAGAAACAAACGTCATCTAAAATCTTTTAGCCCCCCTGGCTGACTTCTTTCATACTTCGTCACCGCGATGATAAGAAGTCGACGCTGTGTCCTTGCTGTTATCCTGTAGTAATGGGGTCATTTCCTTGCTCAATTGTATTTTCTCCGCTTGCTTTATCTGTTTCTTAGCAAGTTTACTGACCTGTGTGGAAATGAATAAATTCAGGAATCTAAGGGATATGCAAAAGTCTTGCTAAGATTCAGGTCTGTGCGGTTTTTTCGTTTGCGAGGAATTCGGAGAAATGTGTTACCCAAATTTATAGAGCTTTGTTTTGAGACGCCAGCCATGTTGGCGTCCCTCTGAGGAACACAAATATGGCGGCCGGAAGCTAGCAGAAACATTGCCATTAAAGCGAGTACTCATCTCTGGAGAGCACATAACATTAAACTTAATACTTATTCAAAAAACAAGGACTGTTCAGATAGCAAAATCTAAGAAAAAAAGATATGCCACTCTTTAACCTACAGTTTCGTGACAGCTTTTGTTACCCCACGCAAAATATTAGAATATTCAAACGTATTCTGTCACAAAATGAAGAACCCTTTCGAACTGAAACTTTGTACAAATACACGTGTTCATGATCAGTTGCTCTAATAGTTCACTAAATTGAAACTCAGAAGGATAAATAATTCTTTATTTTGAATTATGATTACGTTACGTGCAAACCATTCAACAAAACTCAGATGGGTAGATTATTAGATAGCTAGGGTCAACCAGACATAAAACAAACAAGCTGTCTGGATAATAAACGTTTTAGGACAGAGCTAGTATGGAAAGTTAAACTACAGTTTATATACAAGCCTACATGATCTCTGGTCTCTTTCTGATCTTTCAGAACCTCTGTGTCAGCATAAGATCTCTCGGTAGCTTGAAGTTCTTTGATCTAAACATCAAGCAAGTAACAAAAACGGTACTTAATTATTATTGTTAGTACTATCATTAAATGCTTTTATAATTTTGAAGTAACTGCAGTTGCTTAAATAAGTTGTACAAAATCTTCAGATAGTACCAAAATATATTCGTAATGTTGTCTCCCTATATATGTTTCTTGATAATTTCGTTATAAACTAATTGTATAATTGTTCATCTCCTTACCTTTTTTCTTCTGCGGCGTAGCCACGTCAGCAGGTCACCACACGGAACGTATTCTATAACCAGGAACATTTTCTCCTGAAGCGTGCAGCATCCAACCATGGATACAACGTTCTTATGTGAACCCAACAGCTTCATCTGTTCAATCTCAAACGTGAACTCTTCTTTCTGTGCTTCAGATGGATTATCTAAAGATATTTAAATAAAATGACATTGATTTTATTATCGTTATTCTTCAGCATTATTCAGTGCAAAATGTTTCATTTGAAAAACATATTCGTCCATTTTTACCGCTTCCCACTCATCCTCTAATGCACAAGGGTATTTAAAGATGTATTCTACCGTGTAATAGAATATCGAGAAATATTCAAACATTTGTTATCATTTTTAGTTTGCCACTGCACCCTCCCAGCAGCCCCGGGAAGTACTCCTGCAAATTCGGGTGGCGGTGTGATGTGACTATGTGGTTTCCCTCACTACCTAAACCGCTGTTCATAAAAGGCGAATGAAAAAAAAAATAGATAGATAGATAGAAAAATAAATAAATAAATAAATAAATAAATAATAAACCAACAATAAAATAGAATAAAATAAATACAGACCTGGTACAAGGCAGAGCAAAACCTAATCGTGTTTCACGTTTTATCTGTTTTTCCCAAATCGTGGAAATCATTTCCCAATTTCACACATAAAGGGGTCAACAACCATGTCCTTCGGCCCCGCTCTATTGTTTCTAGTCTGTCATTATACAGCATTCTTGTTCAGCACGCGTGCAATGACCACGCTTGGTTGACTTCCGAACGCTCACCGAGATATAATAATTTAGTATAAGAAAATAGAAGGGATTCCCGTCACGAGTTGGTTTAATTATTGGCTTGCATTAAACCTATGAAAAAATGGTATTTTTTAATAGTAAGTAGATTTAGTGTGTAGCACTTCTTGATTTTTTGCAAAGGCACAAGAAGCACGAGAATTGATTAAAAATTGTGAGTTAAACCTCTATGTATCACGCGATGGCCTGTCTCATTGTACCAAAATTATAATATCTTGGTGAGCATTCGGAAGTCAGCCAAGCGCGGTCATTGCACGCGTGCTGAACAAGAATGCTGTATCATGACAGACTAGAAACAATAGACAACTCCCAAAGCACAAACTCAGCCAAAACGCTAAAAATCTTCAATGTTTACTCAAGTTTGGGCTTATAGAAGATAATGTCACAGTTTTTCAATGACCATGAAATTCAGAGTCCGGGTAGTTAGTTAATCAATTGTGGCCCTGAAAAACTTTGAAGGAAAAAAACCCACGAATTTTTAAGAAAATGCTTTTTTCGTGAGAAGGACTCTTAAACGCTGACAAACGTCAACAAATAGCTAACACTATAATTTCTATATGTTTGCTTTGCTCGAAATCGCGTGCATTTACAGGGCCCTAAATTGTTTTGAGGACTTGCGAGGACCCATCTGTTATAACGATGCCCAAAATATAGAAATGAATCTCATAGTTTATTAGATATAATCCGTGTAAAGTTTGCTTATCATTTTCGCATAAATTATGACCTAAATTTGGAAACCGCTGAATTTCTCGAATTGGGTCTTTGCGATTTTGGTGAAACTCAGTTCAGCGCAAGGCACTAATGCGCACTATGTGTAGCCGAGAGATTTTCACGAAAAAATGCCGGAAACAGCAGATTTTCGACTCAGACCTCAAAGGGGCGTGGCATTATAACCACGTGACATTTACTCCGATCGCCAAAAATTTTATGTTATATTGTAAATTGATCTATATGTTATCCATTCTATGTGTTAGACTTACGATAAAAGTAAAGGTGGGGATACCAGAGAGCTTCAAAGTAGGATGGTACCCCCCCAAAAAACTGGGTCGAGTCACCTTAAATCCAAAAGGGTTCTTACAGTAGTATGAAGAGGACTGAAAGGCAGTTAAGACTTTATGCCTTTGTTTATGGAGATAACAGTCAGTATTTCTTACCATGTAAAACTTTGACAGCCACCAGCTGTGGTGCTTTCGGCTTCCTGGTTGATACAGGCCATTTTGAAGTCTCGGTGACCAACGCCTCCATCTCGTCACTCTTTCTAAAGGTTGCCTTGTAAACAACACCAAATTCTCCTCTCCCCAGCTCTTCCCCAAACTCTATTTGCTCAGGCAGAATTTCCCACTTGTCAGGCGGAGTAATCTCGTCTTGTGAATAAGATGACCTAGAAAAAGGAAAAAAAAAAAAAGAATGCCGGATTATTACGCTGAGCACAATATTATAGTAATATATAATCGCATATCTGTAAACTTTACCAACAACAAAATTATTCCACCTGGCTACTGGTGCATCGGAGGATAATCGCCGAAGCTGAGATGTTCTCCGCGTGAAAAAAAAGCTACATCAAAATAGCCGAGTGGGGATAAAAGAAACTTATTTTTTTAAAAGGACGATTCAGTCAAGGGCACCATCCTTCACAAGCAATGACTTAAAAAAAAAAAAAAAGAATTTATTCAATTCTAATTCACTTTAGGCAAATCTAAAAAGCAAAATTCGTCTTCATCAGACTATTCTTAGGATTTTTCATCTTCTTTCAATGCATCATTCGATAATGAAAAAATTTCTTTGATTATTTTTCATAAGAATTGCAAATTAAGTTATGGTTTTGACTTCCAGTTAAAGTTATCTGTCATCTTGGCAAGTGCACTACGTCGGTTTTGTTGACAAGTGATGTAATTTAGCCAATAACGTCACGGGAAACGAAGATTAATCGCTACGTTTAGATAAAAAGACAAAACAAAAGCTTTACTTAGTGTAAGATTTATCTCTGTATTTATGTAGCTAGCATAGCTGGAGATTCTTTGGTGTGTGTTTTTTTTTTATTTTGTGGTTTGCAAAGTAAGGGTTACAGCCGCGTGAACACGGCTGAACCGAGGTCGAAACAGAAAACGATGGGGGATGGGGCGAGGGGAGAGAATAATTACCGGGAAAGCGCTAATAAAAAAACATTAAAAGATCTTAAACAAAAAACCTTTGGCGCGACATTTTGTCGGTTGCATGACGTCAGACCTCAAAAAATGTCACATCATCCTTTCACAATTTCTGAAGGGCGAAAAAGGTGCGTTTTAAAAATCTGAAGGGGTTGAATACAGAGGTTTTTCTCTCTTACTTCTCCCCTCGCCCCCTTCCCTATCATTTCTTTTTCGTCCTCGGTTCAGCTTTCGTGCGGCTGAATCTCTCACTTTACCAAACCACTGAAAAGAAAAAAGAAGCAAACAAAAAAACCGCCAGCTACGCATTAGTAGAGCTCTACAAACCTTTCAATAGTCTTTCTTTTTCTGTAGCACGAGACGAAAATAGCGACCGACAACAGCAAAATAGCGGACGTGACACCAAGTGAAATATAAATGACAGTGGAATTTTCTGGTGCAGATGCGGGAGTCGTGGTTTCTATGACTGCAAACAAAATAAATATATCAAACTGTGATCAAAGGTACTGTACTATAAATGGAAGTGGGGAAGTTTTTTCCAATAATATGCGGTCAGGTTAAAAGGGTTACAGGCATGTTAGAGCTTATATGGTGTTAAAACCTCTTCTCTTACTACACTGTCACTTGTTGACAGTGGAACTTGTCCACTGCGCTTCGGCGAGGACAAAAGCGGGTCTTACCTGGCTAACTGAGCTTCAGTACACTCGTGTCCTCTGTAATTATAAGATTCAGTCATACTGCGAAGGCATATACACAAAAAAAGGAACCACATGTAAATTCCCTTTGATTTTGGGCAACCGCAAAGTATGGCAAAAACACGTAATGAAATTAGTCCGTTACCTTAAAATTTGGTAAGCACAAATTCAAATAGCCGAAGACTTACAGTGTATCACGAAGAACCCTCTGTGTCTTCACTGAACAACTTTTGACACCCACCTATTTTGATCCTGCCGTAGCTGAGATTGGCCGAAGACTTACAAGTTGCGAAATAGAAGCATTATAAAGACAAGTTGGTTCAAAGTTTTTGAATCATGGTGATGAGGAGGAGAAAACTGATCGGAAAGCAAATATGGTGCGTACTCCTACTGAATTTTTTTTCTTTCTTTTGATTATTTGTCTCTGGTTTGGAACATTGTCAAAATTTTGCGCCTAAATTAATAAATTTTTGCTTTCTATAGCCATGACACTTACTATGATTACAAAGATCTCCCTCACAACATTGCAAATGTTCGTCATCAGACTGTCTGCATTGTTCAGCGGTTATACATCCTTGAATGGTGACTTGTTCGTTATCCTCCGATTTTTTGTCAAATTTGAAACAAAGGTTTTCTGGGAATGAGCAGCTGGTTTTGATGGGAACCGATGAATTCTTGTTTGGGTTCTGATAACAAATACTACCTGTGGAAAAATGCAGGATAATTGAGAGAGTAGTCGCCCCATCACGTGGATGTTTTAGATACAGAATATCTGACAAGGTCACTACGCTTGGTGAAAGAAAAAGGTATGGGACAAATAATGCCATTAAAGTAGCTAAGCGGCATTTTTGCAGAGATAATCTGGAAATGAACAAAGGAGACGCGCGCAAAACATAAATAAATAAATAAAATAATGATTTAGTGGTAGCACATCCACAAAGTTGTTCTTCGTCTAGCTGATTGCTGGACGAATTGGAATTTGGAAATGTTGGTTTTTAAGGAGAGGGGAAAACCGGAGTACCCGGAGAAAAATCTCGACACCTGGGACCGGTTGCATAAAGCCTACACTTAAGTGCCCACTTAAGTAGGTCACTTACGAATCCGTTGTGGGTACATTTACGGGTGTTGCATGGAACGCACTTAGCACTCTCTTAAGTTTCTTTTTTACGTGGTAACTTACGGGCTCACTTAAGGGCACACGTAACCTTGATATAGTACTTTATTAATGATTCACTCTTTTCTTTTTTAAGCTAACCATCGGTGAGTGTAAAGAAAGTTAAAAGTCGTTTCGAACACTTTTAAGCCTCTCAAAAAATGAAATTTGCATGCAAACGTTGTTTTCTTCTACTGAAAATGATAGTTCTTCTTCCTTTTTCACAAAGTCGGCCTTTAAGGCGGGCGCTCTCATCACTGCGCCATCACTTACCCCCAAAGTTGATAATGAACTTGCAATTAGTTAGCTACCAGTTTATTTTAAGTCTGTCAAGATAATGAAAATATGTTTTACGAAAAAAACAAAACAAACAAACAAAAAAAAAATGACCAAAAAAGAGGGAAAAAAATCCTCCAGCGGAAGTCGAACCCCGGACCTTCGACGAGTAAGGTCAAGGCGTTATTCTATTGCGCAACGACAACTAATTTTAAACAAAATCGTTCAATTAATTATCTTTAACATTTTTGCCCATAAAATTCCGTCGGTGGACGCTGTTTGACGGTGGTAGAGCTTTATTTATGAGGAATTGAAAAATATATTCGAGGAAAAAAAATGCATGGTTTTGACGGTAAAAGCCGCAGTTTGACAAGTGTGTCGCAAAACCTTCGTGAAGACTCCTGCTGACGGCATTGTACAGCGTGCAATTCCGCTGCCTTAACCACAGGTAACCCAGGCTCTGTGATAGTACCACAGTACGGTTCCAGTAAAATTACAGTGTTTGTATGGGGTAAAAATATCATCTTAAGATTTCTAGGAAATACTAAATAAAGATCAATAAAACTTACTCTGCAGTTAATTGTTGTTGTCCTTATTGCTCCAACGAAGTTTCGTGATAATTTGCAGTAATTTGTTTAAATTCACTCTATCTACAATAATAATATACAAGGTAGGAAACACGAGGTGCGATTTTCGCCGACATGCTCTCATTCAACACAACTTTTTCCACGAAATTCGAACTCCAACGGAAAATAAACATGCCAGGATCGTAGAAATAGGATAGCAGCAGATATAGAAACCAATGAAGCTTTCCCAGATAGAGAAACGAATCGCACAGACTTTGACAAACTCGAAGAATATAATCCAAACAGACCGAGAATATGCTCGCCGAAGCAGCAGGGCCAGATCAACGCGCGGCCAAGAAAATGAGGCCTAGGCACTGTACAAAAAAATTCCATCCCGGGGGTCCTGGGGTAACCTTTCTAGGGACCGATACATCACTTGCCCAAAGCCACCCTCCCCTGCTGGAAAAATACTTGGTAGAAGGTAATTGTTCTTCCTAGCCAATCACTATTTGCCAGAGCAAACCCCACACACGCGCCTAAATTTATATAGGTAAAAAAAATTAATATAATCAGGAGAGTCTGCGGAGTTACAATGCGCCCCATTTCTTTTACTAAGGAATGTAAATAACAGTAATGAAACTAATGAAATAACAACATGAAATACTTACAAGGCGGGCTAAAAACAAGGTTGAACAAAAGGTAGATGATGACAGAGATACTGTTGCTGTGAACTCTCGAGCGAAACTATCGTAAATAAACGGTGAAGCTTACAAACTAATGTCGAAAATTATACAGAAAATTGCGACAGAATATGAATTGCGATAACTGAGACGAGTGTGAAAGGCACGTACACCAGTAACCAAAGAACTAGCGCGATTAACGTATTTAGCGATTAATGCGGCAGTAACACGCCGACTTCTTGTCAACACAAGTGAACGCTCTATCGGTTAAATATGTGAATCATCGTGATACACCTCTCTTTGAATTTGGTCCTGCTGTACAAATGCCTCGGTAATAGCCAAAATTCACTTATATCTTTTGCTCGTTTTAAGTTTTGTAAATCCTCCTTCGTTGTTCTTTCCTTTGCCCTTATAACCTTGCCCTATTGATGTTTGATAAACTTTCTGAGGACCAGCGCCAGGCGCTGAATATAGCTCGAGAGGGACATAATCTCTTTATAACAGGCCAGGGTGGTACGGCTAGGAAGAAAAATTGCCTTCTATTAAGTATTTTTTCAGCAGGGTAGGGTGGCTTTGGGCAAATGATGTTTCGGTGCCCAGAAAGGTCACCTCAGGACTCCCGGGATGATTTTTTTTTTTTTGTACAGTGCCCAGGCCTCATTTTCTTGGCCGCGCGTTGATCTGGCCCTGCTGCTTCGGCGAGCATATTCTCGGTCTGTTTGGATTATATTCTTCGAGTTTGTCAAAGTCTGTGCGATTCGTTTCTCTATCTGGGAAAGCTTCATTGGTTTCTATATCTGCTGCTATCCTATTTCTACGATCCTGGCATGTTTATTTTCCGTTGGAGTTCGAATTTCGTGGAAAAAGTTGTGTTGAATGAGAGCATGTCGGCGAAAATCGCACCTCGTGTTTCCTACCTTGTATATTATTATTGTAGATAGAGTGAATTTAAACAAATTACTGCAAATTATCACGAAACTTCGTTGGAGCAATAAGGACAACAACAATTAACTGCAGAGTAAGTTTTATTGATCTTTATTTAGTATTTCCTAGAAATTTTAGGATGATATTTTTACCCCATACAAACACTGTAATTTTACTGGAACCGTACTGTGGTACTATCACAGAGCCTGGGTTACCTGTGCCTTAACCTAAGGAGAATCAATTGCGATTCAGCATCAGTAAACATTTCCGTTTTTATTCAACCAAAGAAACATTTCAATTCAAAATGATATTTCCCTAAAAAAACATGAAATTGGGAATTTTGTCATGAGAAAAGTTAAAAAATTGTGAGACTCACGGGGGTCCAAGAGCAACTGCTGATCCCTTCGTCGTGTTTATCGCCTGGACGAGTCAAAAAGCTTCAAAAGTTCATAAACTGCTGTCTCAAATTGCAAAAGTTGGCCATGAGTGCTATAAATTTGAAACATTCAAAGCCCACATGAAGACAACTTATCGTCCTGTGAAAAACCGACAAAATCATAACATCAAAAGCTCTGGGCACGATGCACGCTCGGCACTTCTTGATCTCAGAACGGGAACTATCGATCTACGACAGTTGTCGTTTTGATGTCGAGCGCTTTCGTACGGAGCCGAATAATTACCAACGGTGTCTACACCCGATCAGTTGACACATTTGCACGTCGCAGTGACCACCATAACTCGCTCATTACGCTACGAGTAATCCACGAGTTAAAAATTAAGGATACTAAATCCGATCTTTAAAATTATCGACCAATATCTGCATTAAGCATTCTCATCGGTCTTAAAACGGCTTTTGGGAAAGGGGTTGGGCGTTGAGGAGAAAAGAGAAACGCCAGCAAAGCCTATGAAGTTACCGAACGCTCCCAATTAGTCGCGCCTAACTCCTTTTAAACCCGTCAACCTTTCCCTTAAAATCAGTTTTTGGCTCGCTCCAACTCTAATACCGTCCAAGATGGCGGGATAACGTTATTCCCGAAAAAAAATCATGGATCACGCTGCCAAAACGCTTGTTTTGCAGGCTAAGTGGTAAGCTAACTAGGCTCAAACCACCGCACCAATTATCTAAAGCGTAGCCTTAGCTATAGCGGGGCCCAATTGTGGCCGGAATTTTTTTACCAACATCTACTCAATAGGGCAATTCAAAAGGGAAATAAAACGCGTGATTTAATCATCGGTTTCCCACTCGGAAATCTTGTAAAATAGTAAATGAAGTGCACACACATATTTGTTTTATAAAGATATTTATTTTTAACTTTGTACATTACTGAATGAGTCAATTAGTTCTTTCAGTTTTTTTAGTTTTATCAGTATGTGAATGTAAAATTATTGGGCACACATGATTTCGTCAACCATACAGTGGCGATAACAGTCGAACCTGTATTAAGCGGTCACCCTCGGGGAATGGCTAAGTGACCGGTTAATATAGGATGACCACCTAAATACAGGCTGCAAGAAACACAGTTCAAAGAATTGGATCTACAGTGCTGATCAGATCAGACGTTTGACCTCATATAGAAACATTCATTTCCGGCTTTTTAATGATTTGCGAAAACAAACAAGAAAATCAATTGTTGTACCTCGTGTGTTACAGTATTTGAAACTGTATGAACAAGTAATTGACACCGTGTGACCGTTAAATACAGGTCAAGACAATAGAAAAAGTCTCGTTGGGACTTCGCAAATGGTGACCGCGACCGCTTAATTGAGGTGGAAATTACAGTGCATCAAGGGAAGTAATTTTCGGGAGTTTGAAAACTGGCCGCTTAACTGGTGGGTGACCGCTTACCGGTGCCGCTTAATACAGGCTCCACTGTACACTCCTAAATGAGACTATCGAGAATCCCATTCCGTTTATAAAAGAGACTCCCTCGGACCTAAATAAAATCCGAACTTATCCAATTATATTCTAACAAGATTTATACTTACTCATTGCTGAGACTGGCTTTTCACAAACATAGTTCTGAAAATCTTCACAGTTGCCCCTCTCCATCTCTCCTGTGTATGTCTTCATTCGGATACACTCTGAGTGACCGGTTTTGTCA